TAGATAAGGCTTGGCGGACTTTGGTGACGAAAAAACGTTCGTCAGCGGAATTCTGACCTGCAGACGGAGGAAGGGCAATCGGGATGGACCTCGCTCCATGACATACTGCAGGGTGAGGGAGACCGGGCAGATCTCCGTCCCTGTCCTACCCACGTAGACGAACCCCATCTGATCGCATTTCGACCTCTTCAACCGTATCCGGAGGGATGCCGGCGGGGATGCGTCGTCTGCTGCCACATCTCCCTGTGCAAGGTGGATCCGCTCGTCGAAGGAGGAGGCCGTTGGTACCAATGTTCTCCCCAGGCCGTTTTGGCTTAGCGCTCCGCTATGCATTATCCACGAAAGGGATATGGGCCGCTAAAAGATAATAGCCAGCGGTGCCACCTCGACACATTTACACTTGAAGTTTAGCTACCTGGAGATACCCAATCAAGCCTGTATGTACTTGACATATTATTTGCCAGATTGCACCAGAAACACTCAGAATGTCCTAAATTTCCAAATTTTCCTGGGGGAGCATGCCCCCTGACCCCCCTAGGGGGCCTGCTTCGAGCCTTTCATCACTCTCCTGTTGCCCTGAGCACTCATACATTGCTTGCTCCCCATAAGCCTTATAATTATCCTGGGGAGAACACTGGGTACTGTTATTTCCCCTGACCTAAACAACCCGAAGAAACACAACGTCGCAGCGGATCTCAGCAGAATGCACTCGTACCAAGCCGGAGCCCTTCCCCCGTCCGTGGGCACCAGTGTCCAGATCTGCACCAGTCTTCGGAGAATTGGCACGGTGATCGGGAGGCGCTTGTCTGGTTGCGCGATGCCCTTGATGACTCTCGCAGGCGATACCGGACTGAACCAGCTTCAGTCGGGCCATCATCTCCGCTCCGTGTCTCGGCTTAGGTAGGCCCCTCATAATCTGGGCGTGGCCCACACCCGCTAGGTACGTTTTAATTGTGGCCAGGGCGAGCCCCTCTTCGGCCAACGCGGTGACGAATCGGCACAGCAACGGTTCATTGACTCGGAAGGAGGTGGTAATACTGTACTCGGTACAAAAAGACGAGAACCTATTAATCGCCCTCCGGTAGGCCTTATTGGTGAAAAGGGCCAGGCCTAGCACGCAATATTGGTGAACCGCCGCGTCCAGTCTGGCGAGGTCCATGTCCCGTCCATGTCCAGTAGCAGCTGGAGAAGGTCGGGGGGTAGAGGGGTTGGCAGAGGTTCGGCCCTTGCTGGCCGCGCCAGCCCCTCCCCCAGACAGCCAACAAGACAACAACCGCAAAGAGTTCCTTGAACGAGATCCTGCTCTCCCGGCCTTGGGGCCATCTCAATTGCCACCATCGCTCCCCGCACCAAGCCCCACACCCCCATGAGCCCGAGGCGTCGGACGCAAATTCGACCGTGGGATTCGGTGCAGGGGGAAACAATGCCTCCCCGTTCCAAGACGCTGCAAAGGTGCTCCACCAATACAGGTCGGCTCGGAATTGGTGGTTCAGCCGTAGAAAATGCCGCGGACGCCTGGGCCCTTTCAGTAGATCTATCATTTGTCTGACTAACATCCGCCCAGGTCGGATAACCTGAGCAGCGTGTTGCTGTATGCCACTGAGGGCTTCTAGTTCCCGCCTACAACAGGCTCGCCTGCTCCTCCACCTCTCAAGTTCGCCCCGTAACTGGGACAATTTCTCCGCGGGGAGGGCTAGACGGCCCTTGACTGTGTCGATTTCAATTCCTAGAAACCCAGCTTCGTAGATGGGCCCACCTTCTCTGGCGCGAGGGTCACACCCAGTGCCTCGCACTCAACCTCGAATGCTGCAACGTATGCCTTGATTTGCTGAGGCTCGGGAGGGGCCACGATAATAAAATCATCCAAGTAGTGATCGATCTCCAACGACACCTTTCTGACTGGCGCACCACTCCAGTGCCGCTGTGAAAATAATAGGAGCCGAGCGTAGCCCAAATGGGAGTATAGCATCCACACAATGCTCGACATTGCATACCAAGAAGGCAGTCTACTGGGTGAACGGGGACAAGGCGGTATGCCGCCTTAATGCCGGCCTTGGCCAGCAGTGCTCCGGGGCCCAGTCTGTGTGCAGCTCTCGCCACTCTACCCGATGTGTACGTGAACGAACACAGACCGGGATCGATGCCGCCGTTAACGCTAGCTCCATCGGGAAACTACAGGTCGGTGATCAGCGTCCATTTCCCTGAAGTACGGCCTTTGGGGATCACGCCGAACCTGTTCACTTGCAGAGTAGGGACTATGCTCCCGGGCAACGGGCCCGGGATCCTACCCGCAGACCTCTCCTCCCCTAGGTAGCACTCTACCACCTCGGGGTGCTCGGTTCCTGAGGGCATGTTATGCTTTGCCGTAGACAACCGGCTCCGGTAATCAAAGCCGACGCGAAAGCCCTGCTCCAGCCCGGTGAGAATAAACGTCGCGAAATCTTGGTCCGGATGTGAGCGTAGCCGCTCCTGCCACGCATGTAGATTGCTTGAGAGTGGGGAGCTGACTCCGGCGATGACGGCTGGAACACTGCGCTCCGTCGAAAGGCGTCTTCTGTCCAGTTGCAGCAGTTGGGCTGTGTACTTGTAGCAGCTTGTCAACGAGAGGTGACAGGTCATTCATATATGCGACGCAGACGATGTGCGACCATTCTTGCCTAATTGCTTAATTAAGGAATCACGCCCCCAAGGACAGAGAGAGTAATGACGCGCACGCGTGCGCACTGCATCGTGCCTACTGCTCAACCATAAAGAGTCATAAATGAATGCGGCGAGGAGGCCATAACACAACACAATCCGAGGTGGACTCTATGCAGTCATTGTTCTCGCCCTACGTGCGGCGCTGAGGCACGTCCTCTTTGGGCTGGCAGCTGACCACGAGCCCCGCACTCTGAGGCTGGGTGGGGACCTCTCTTACACTTGGAGCACACATGTGCAAACCGGCACCATTTAAAGGTGCACCAATTTTCCGGCCGGAGCATTAAAGAGCTCGCAAAGCTCCACCACTCGGGACCCGTTTAAAACAATGTGTGTAAAAGCGCCCGGCCGTGATCACCACAGCCGAATGCTAGAGGCCACTCGCCTCGCCTGGGTTGGCAGAAAACGTGGTAACAGACAGACAAACCAAGTACTGTAATCCTTGCTGCACATGCGCGCCGAGGGTTAGTAATAATAATGTGGAGGATGCATTGGGGCTCTTGGCTATGACTCAAGAGTAGGTCTTGCTGCGGTTGTGCCAACAACATCTCCTGCTAGTGCAAAAGATAGTGTCAGCAGAGAAATTGTTTTGTGCATGTCTACCTGTCACAATAAGCACCTACATTAACTTTCATACACAGACAGCAGAACCACTTGTCCTCAATGCAGCAGACTTGGCTGGTATGCATCTCTTTCACAGGTGTTGTGCTGGTCAAAGTAGCATCCGATTTTGGTTAACATGCTGCATTCTAAAGTTATGGCGTGAAACAAAGTGAAGGAGCTAATATGCAAATTAGCACTGGTTTACTTCAGCCAGCTCTGGAGGCACCAAAAGTTCTAACGCAGGACGAATATTGACTCCCGCGTGCTATCTGGCAGTGTAGAAAGCCTGTGACTGACTCTCAGCGAGCTGGTAAGCGACCACGAGTCAGTAAAATTGTAAAATTGGACCCATCCACCAATTAACAGTGCCGCACATACGTACGGTATAGCGTGTACATCATCCGCATCTACACCTCGCATGGGACAAGGCTGCGTAGGTGACCTGCTGAGACACAGCATGCCGAGTAAGAAAATGTTAATATCCTGCTCCTCCCCCACACCATTCAGACATCAGAATGTGCACAGGGTCCACCATTACTAACCTACTGATGTAGCCAGCCCATGATGACATGTAGCAGCTTAGTAGTGTGTACATGTACTTAAGCATGTGTATACAAATTAATCAGCCCCACTGCGCCGAGGGTTAGCACTTCAGTGCCTTTCATTTAAGCGTTGTTATCATGGAGACAATGTAATACCAATACCACATGTGTATGTATTGCTTGTGGCTAATAAATTACGAACAAAAGTACATCCCTATTATGGATATGTGTATTCCGATGGCTTTTATTAACTCTCGGCACGCATGCGCAGCAAGGGTTATGTAGTTGTCGTGTGTGTGTCTGTCCGTAAGGCGACCTCCCTTCACAAGCAATCAATCGCTCCACGAACAATACCACATATTCGGCGTCGGATAAACGTCAAAAAATATGTGGGTTTTTCTCTGAAACTGCTGCATTCAGGAGTTACGGCATGGAAAGCCTTCACAGAACATTGTGTATATAGGCTGTCTTCGTCAACTTTGCTTTGACATGGAACCCTTCTCTAGTGAGCACGCAAGTCTCCGCCGAGGGTTTGCACTTTATTGCTTTTCATATTGGTATTTTGTTATGGTTGTCGTATCTAAAGAGAACCTTCCCTATACATGTAGGTATCATGCCCATCCCAATACAAGGCACAAGAATCATTTTCTTGTTCCTTGGCTTCATATATGAAGTTTAAGGACTGTGGTAAGGTTCTCCCACGGGTTTGTAGTACAGCTATACAGCACATGTATCCAAAGCTTTCCAGCTTAAAGTAGCTCATAGTGACGGTGCATGAAGACTGGTCGGATAGGCAAGGGGGCCGACCATAACCATCACAGAAATCTTAGTTAACGAGCGCCTCGATCTTCCTGGCCTTGCTAGTGGAGATGGATATAGTCTAGCGCATATCTCTAGAGCTTTTCTTACTCTTCTGGCATACAAATTTTACGAACTGCAGAAAAATGGAGCACGCAATACGGAATTTATACGACGGGTGGTGCCTTACCAACACCTCAAACTCCATTTACTATGTGGAGACTAAAACACCAGAAAACAATGAGCACTCCCCTGTCATTTCACTCACAATTTGTTCTCCTTGCATTTTTTTTATACCATCGCTATTTTTAAAGAAGGCTGTATTTACTCTATGGGCCACTTCTGCCTACCTCCCTCTAGCGTGAAGAAGACTTCTTACGCCGCCTTGAACAGCATCGATTTTCCGACATCAATAAGTTCGATGATGACTACTATGGAGACAAAATAAACACCCTCTTTGACTACCGCCAATGGGTTAGACAGCAACAACGAAAAAAAACAAATGCAATGAACAAACATTGATGTAATAGTTTTGTATTTAGCAGAGTGTATTAGGCTATGATATGGAATTTTATTCTGCTGTGGCAAAACTATGTTCTACACATAATGCTTGTAAATAACAACGAATAGTCCCAGGCAATGTTCGTACAGGTTATGGTAATGAAACAACTACGGTGCGAGCTAACATTTTCAGTTTAGCACACTTTTGGAGATACAGTCTGTGACAGTCTGGGTCAGTGACACTCCTGGTATCTTTTGGAAGCTCCGTGTTAGGAAAAGTGCTGCAAGAAATCAATTCCATATAATTATGTATCTAAGCGTTTTATGAGGTACTAGGTCATTGTTGAGGTAGAGCAGGTTCACTTTTGGAGATACCATTTGTAGGTGCTGCCTGAGGGGTTCTGGAATTGTTCAGCCTTTTGATATCCGACCTAAAGGTTTCCCTCCTATTCATTGCAAACGAATGTGCCAGTCGACTACGCAATCGATATTCCTGTCTATGCTCGAGATGGCGAACCTCGTACTTGTATCTCTTTTTCGCATGTTTCTTTATGGTGGAGAGAACACCAGCTGACGGACATCCAGCTTCAGTCCATATTCTATGCCAGAGAATTGAGGCCTCCTTTGCAGCACTGTCGTTCCAGCCATGAACTCTCCGTGAGGATGATGACTTGCTAGGAAAGCAGCAGAAAGCACAATCCAGTAAGGTAGAAACAATGTGGTTCACATAATCATCAAGTAGAGCAGTGCACTCAGGCTGGGAACATTGCAGAAACATAATTGGAGGAGCAGACAACCTATCTGAAACCATATCCTGGTACATCATGATGGAGGATTGAGTAGCTTTAGACCAGTCTATGCGAGCTGTAGGTTTAGAAGTAGTAGATGGCATAGCATTTATTGGAGTACAGTGCATATTCAGCAAAAAAGAAAGAGGAAGATGATCAGAAAGGTTAGTCCCACATGTTACAGTATGTATATATATATCAGTAACAAACGAAGAGAGTGACTGTGAACACACAACATGGTCAATCACAAGACCGTCATCTCTCTCATATTTGAAATTAACCGACTCACTATATAAGAAAGATCACAAACAACAAATCACTAAAACAAGATACATCACTTTCTGAGGGCAAGTACACATTCACCAACAAGACCGATGAGCCGGACAACTCACACCATTTAACAGCACAAAATCTATTGGAGTGTGTATACAAAGGTGTGACGCTCGAAGACAATGATTTTCTGTAAAGAATCGAACAGCCACCATATGGCCTACCAGATATCAAAACAGAGTCATCCATGCCACTTACACCAACAGCTGATGAGATTTTATTGATTTTGTGAAGATGATTACTAATTAACCAATGTTCTTGTACAAAGCAGACATTGATTAAAGAATTTAGTGTAATCACACCACTATTCCAACCACGACAATTATATGACATCAAACGAAGTGGAGCCATTATGATGTAACATTATCACCCTGGACAATGGTAAAAGAAGATGAGGTGGAGGAGTTGGACTGGGCAGGTGACAGAGAGCCAGAACGGTCAAGAGTCGAGGCACCTGGAGAAACGAGAGTGGGACGAGGGTACTTCAAATTACTCTTGCGGAGCAAAATTACTTTACGATCCCATGGAGTAGTGAGTTACGAGCGATACTAACAGCTTTAGCGGTAGAAAATAAAACGGCGATTTTGCTGAAACGACAGCGACAAACTGGCACGGTCGCGGACCTCGTTGCGTGGCCCAACCCATCAATAAGCGGTGCGCATGCGTATATTAAACGCAGTAGCGTAGGCTGGCTCACCTCGACCTGATTCGCTTGCTCTGTGTCTTCGAGGCACAAGAAGCCACAGCGAAGGGTGTGTATCGACTCCATCGTGCTATCTACTACCGTAGCTAGCCCTCTCCACGAGCTACTAGCGGGAGCTAATAGCCCAGCCCCCATCATAGTTCGCCGAGGGTTTGCACTTTAATTTCTCTTGGCATCACGTTCAAGGGCTGACTTTTCACTGAACGTCTCCTCTCAGTGTCCTTCATTAGACCCGTTTTCTCCTTACTGGAACAAGTTCAAGGGCTGACTTTTCACTGAACGTCTCCTCTCAGTGTCCAATGCCTTCTGTAAGTAAAATCGGCCTACACATTTCCAACAAGCTACCTGTTAGTTCGGGAGTGACTTCGTGCGAGCAGTGTGTGTGCTTCAGAGCGAGCGGCGTGCGCGTATAGTTACGCTTCCATGCCTCGTTTGTGTCCCAGCTTGTAGCTATTGAAACCACCATCCTGTGCACAACCTAATTACGTCCTTGGAGACAATAGACAGTCTCTGTCTACTGGCCCCTGCTTCAGGCATAACTACCGATTTGGACTACGTAAGTCATCCCCATAATCAACCATACAACGTACCCATAGTGATGATGATAAGAAAATGCTGTGTTGCATAACAAGTGGAAAAATCATTTCAAGGGAGATATAGGGATGGCTAAAGCACCAAAAATGAAGAAACAAGGGGTCATTACACAGCAAAAATAATTATACACAATGATACATGGCACCATTTCATTCATAAACAAAAAATATCAAACAAAGATATTATAGGTATGGTGTCATATTATTATTGCTGTGTAATGACCCCTTGTTTCTTCCTTTTTGGTGCTTCAAGCCATCCCTATGAAATGATTTTTCCACTTCTAAGTAATGTCTTACCTGGGCACATGAATAGTAAAGTAGTTGGAATGCAGCCTGGGTGGTGTTCTACGTGCTCAGTTTGTGCCTCCACTTTTGCCATCCTATTTATGGGTGGTGTAGGTAGAACCAGACCAGCTTAGAAAAGCATACGGGTTTAATCGAAAAGTCCAGTGTTCTTCCCTGCGTCAGTTTTTTTCCTGTACAAGCATAGTTGCAGGTGACATGAGGTCAAACCCGACAGTTTTGTATTGAGCTAGCTCACCTTTTGTTAGAAGATGTAGGACGGAAACAAGTATTGTGCAGTTCGAAGGGAGCCCACAGTGCTATATAGAGTGTTATTTGAAGAGGGATAGGTGTGATCAATGCCAAGTCACCACGACAGAGCGTCGGCGTCTGTAGAGTGAGGCTGTGCAAGACCACCTGTTTTGCAGAGTTGCACTAGTTAGCTACATGGGTTAATCATTGTATGTTTCTTTATACTATGTAAGCATCTGCATTTCGGTTTCTGGTCAGGGGCTTTTCAAGTTAAGATGCGGGCGGGCAGATTAGTCCACTTAGTAATAAAGACCACAAAAATTAATAATGGCAATACGTCAAAACGAGACAATTGCAAAGCACAGCGCAGCATGCGCAGTTAATAGTGGTGTTCTCTTGAAAGGGTGCGGGTGGCGGACCAGAAACCGGTATACAACTTGGAGTGGCCTTAGGTTAACCGTTTCAGTCACAAAATGTAGTAAAGTTTCACACTTCAACAAAACTCGCACAATTGTGAACTTTGACCCGGTAGGCAGGCAGCATTGTGAGGCTGCATAAGCGAAACCAACGCAAGAGCGAAACGGGATTGGAATGCGCAATTAAGGCCGCACGGTGCAATTAAGGTTGCACGGCCATCCGGTATCGCCATCCGGTATCGGAACGGAACCGCATGCGGAAGTTCCTTATCCTGGGACTAAAGGAGAAAGAAACGTCTTCCAGACCATCTTCAAACTTGTACTTTAGCAGCACTAAAGGAGGAAGAAACGTCTCTCAGACCATCCTCACACTTGTACTTTAGCAGCAAGTCGAAGGCATTATGTGCAGAGCCTCGTTTCGCATTTGCGTTAGGTGCGTTGGTTAACGCATAAGCGAAACGGATGTCAATCTAAGCAAAAAGGAGCTAATGTTACCTGAATCCTGGGACTAAAGGAGGAAGAAACGTCTCTCAGACCATCCTCACACTTGTACTTTAGCAACAAGTCGAAGGCATTATGTGCAGAGCCTCGTTTCGCATTTGCGTTAGGTGCGTTGGTTAACGCATAAGCGAAACGGATGTCAATCTAAGCAAAAAGGAGCTAATGTTACCTGAATCCTGGGACTAAAGGAGGAAGAAACGTCTCTCAGACCATCCTCACACTTGTACTTTAGCAGCAAGTCGAAGGCATTATGTGCAGAGCCTCGTTTCGCATTTGCGTTAGGTGCGTTGGTTAACGCATAAGCGAAACGGATGTCAATCTAAGCAAAAAGGAGCTAATGTTACCTGAATCCTGGGACTAAAGGAGGAAGAAACGTCTCTCAGACCATCCTCACACTTGTACTTTAGCAGCAAGTCGAAGGCATTATGTGCAGAGCCTCGTTTCGCATTTGCGTTAGGTGCGTTGGTTAACGCATAAGCGAAACGGATGTCAATCTAAGCAAAAAGGAGCTAATGTTACCTGAATCCTGGGACTAAAGGAGGAAGAAACGTCTCTCAGACCATCCTCACACTTGTACTTTAGCAGCAAGTCGAAGGCATTATGTGCAGAGCCTCGTTTCGCATTTGCGTTAGGTGCGTTGGTTAACGCATAAGCGAAACGGATGTCAATCTAAGCAAAAAGGAGCTAAGATCATTCAGACAGATCAAGGAACTGAGTTTAAGGGTGTTGTAGAACAAGTTATGAATAAACTCAAAGTCAAGATCATCCACAGCCGACCATACCATCCACAGTCACAGGGAAAGGTAGTCCTTTTAATATCCTTTGTCATTTTGTATATAAAATATATATGAACCCAGATTGAGAGGTCTCATCTCATGGCCAACATTTAGGTTCTTTTCCAACTATTTTCAGCTTTCAGAACACCTTCAAGCTGGAGAACATGGCCTCAGCATTGATACAGATGTGGCTTTGTCGATTGAATATAGAAAATACAACAAAAGACCAGATTTGAGGCAGGTCATGGACTTTGTAATTGTGAATAGTGAACAACACTCTGAGTTTGATGAGTTCAAAAGGGCTATGAATGATCCTAATTGCGTTCTTCTCTCAAGTAATGCCCTCCTTGATTACTGGAATGAGTTTGAAAGAAGTGTATCTCAATCAACAATAACAGTCTACGGCCAAAAACACCATATACTGAAATGGATCAGCTGATTGAGTGGGTAATGAAGCAAAGAGAAAAACGGGTAAGTATAGTAATCATACAAATTTTGTTTGAATCTTAGTTTCTTGCAGAGTGAAGGGGAGGTTGTGGCAAACGACACTGGTCCTATCACAAATGAGATAAGCATTGAACAGGTAGAGGAGAACATTCCACATTCACCTTCTAAGGAGGAGGCAAGCAGTTTTGTAGCTAGTAAGGAAGAGATAAGTCCTGCAGCTAAAAAGGAAGATAATCATAATAATTATTGTGATAGATGATTCTCAATCAGGCGAAAGTGAGTGGCCAACGTCATGGATTCCATACCCATGCCATACTCCAGTGATAATACTCATGAGTGTCATTATTATTGTACCATTCCACATATAACTTCTATCAAAATAATCTTCTAACCATGTCTTCATTATCCATCGCTTTTCTCTCTGAGCAGCAGCTCTAAAGAGACTCATTAGAGACTTCCCTGGCTGTTCCCTTCCCAATTTTGTCTACTGTCTCCTTTGTCTCCTTAGTCTCTTTGTTACACAAGATGAAGTATATACGTCTAATATCTTGTCAGCAACGGTGTAGCACAGGGGAGCGCAGTTAGGTGCGCGCGCCGCACTTACTCGCGCATAGGTGCGCGCGCGCCGCGCGCCGCACTTTAAGAGGCGTGTCGAGAAAGTCACATCACCTCCACATCAATGTCTTGCAAAATCGTTGAACTGTGGTGTTACTGCGCATGCCCAGAGCCAAAACGTGGCATGAAAATTGCGAAATACAAAGCTTCTTTACTCTAGTTTTGCTGTGCAAGTGCCGAAGAGGTGGGGGTCGGACGACCATGTGCTAGCACAGGGAGTAGTCGAGCAGTGCAATTCCACGATTTGCGGACATGCCTCCCATGCAATAAGGGCGAATTACTTACTATTACTTATAATTGTAAGTATACTTGGTTGATTAGGATATCGCATTCTCTATGAATTCTATCTACTAACACTAGTCAGAAAACCATTTTGGCCAAACGTTTCGACTGCTCTGCAGTCCTCATCAGTGGCAAAAAGTTTTAAAAAAAGGCAATGGCTGAGTTTTTAAGGCATGAGAGACAGGAATGAAAATTAAATTCCAATGTAACTAAGAGAGGAAACAAGAGGCAAGAATGAAAATGAAATAGCACGGTAGCTAGGTTTGCAAAGGTCAAAACATTAATTCGTAATATATAAATTAAAATAAATAAAATAAAGTACACAAAAAAACAAATAAAAGTGGGGGAGCAAAAGATGAAGGATAGAAAAGGAAAGAAACACTCTTCAGTGCAAACAGCGATATACAGGTGGAAGGGTCCCCCCTTCCCTGTTGAAGCTGGGATGTCTCTGTATGTGCCACAACTCCAGGGCACACCTTCGAAACTGGTTGTTCTCATGGTCAAGGATTGACGTAGATTGGAAGTCTACTTGATGACCCAATTTCCATACATGCTCAGCCACAGCAGACACATCAGTCTTCGCATGTTTCACTGCTGCCTTGTGCTCGCTGAGACGCGTTTCCAACAGGCGGCTTGTCTGGCCAACGTAGACCTTAGAGCAGGTCTTGCAAGGAATGCAGTAGACAACATTGGCTTGTTTTAGAGGAGGAACTGGGTCTTTGACTCTGACCAGTTGTTTATGGAGGGTAGAAGCTGGCCTGTATACAACCCGAATTCTCAGAGGGTAGAGAAGACGTTGTATCGCCTCCGACAGACCCCTAACATACAATAGATCCGGACCACTCATTTCTTGTACTTTTTTCATGTATGTCAGCCTTTTTGTTTCTCACCCTATGCATGAAACTCTTTGGGTAGTTGTTTAATTTGAGTGTCTTGCATAGCGTCTTGTGTTCGGTAATTGTGTGTTGGGTGGTAGAGCACATATCCTTTGCTCGGTGAAAGAATGTGCTCACCACAGCTGCCTTGTGTGTTAGAGGGTGATGCGAAGAAAGATCTAGATACCTGTTGGTATTTGTGGGCTTGCGATACACACTGGTAGAGATAGTACCGTTGTTGTTGTGATGTAGAAGAATGTCAAGGTAAGGAAGTTTATGATCTGAAGGCTCTCTTTCAAGCCTAGTACGATTATGCATATTGGCTTTATTGCTCGTTTTCACGGCATATCTCTCAAACGCAGTCGTTTCAGGAAAATCGCCCTTTTTTTCAGGCTCGCGTAGTTCGGAAGCCGTTGGTATCGCTAATGGGGCCGCCTCGTAGCCTGTAGTGCCAGAATAAGTGTCGACACACACAGACAGACAGACAAACCAACTACTGTAACCCTCGCTGCGCATGCGCGCAGAGGGTTAATAAAGACCCACCTATAAGGCTCTCCATAGTGTCTGCAGGAGTTATTGGCCAGTGACAGGACAGTAGTAGAGCTGTTGGTTGACGCAGGAACCTTCTCCTGCTGAATGGAACCAGAGAGACAGACAGACAGAGAAAAAAATAATTGATTTTTTTAAAATTCACTGGCCATTAACCCTAGGCCTTGCACACACACAGCTGGAGCACACAAAAGGGAGGGGTGTGTGCCCACTGGGTGGTGATACAGGGCCATCATAGGGTAATGGCCTCCAAAAATTATGTAAGTTCCCCTCCTAAACCTATTGAATGGGCCAGCTCTAGAGAGCCAGCCAGCTTAGCCCAGGGATGCTAGCCCTCACCTTATATAGCAGAAAAGAGCAGGAACAGTTGTGGTTTTTGTTAAAAATTCATTGCTGTCAATCTATTGTTGGTTTCGCTTATGCAGCCTAACACAGCATGCTCACAAAAACCACCCACGCATCCACAGAAGAGGTCAGTCGCCATTTGAATGTGGCAGTCGGAGCTTAGATGTTCCCCTTTCAGTAAGTACTTAAAAGCACTAAAGTGCAAACCCTCGGCGAACTGCGCATTTGTATGCGTTTACTCGCGGTCTCCCGCTATTACCTCGCGGAGAGTCTGACACGGGCTATAGTTGATAGCAGGCGCGGGGAGTCGATACATGTCATTCGTTGTGACTTCCTGAGCCCCTAAGGTATATACATAGGAGCGAGTCGCGGTAAGCCTAGTGCTAATATGCATATTGGTTTTTTCACTGTTTTCATGGCATACCTCCTGAACGCAGCAGTCGTTTCAATCACCCTTGAAAGTGGGCGTGTAGATTTGGGCATGCGATGAGCGGAGAAAACGCCCGATCGAGCACAGAAGCCGAATACCGAAAGAGGTATACGGAGATAAAAACGGAAAAGTGCATACACGCAAAAATTCCTCCGCGTAATCGGGCTCGTATATATTCGTGAAGCTAGGCAACTCTGCAGCATTTCAGTAGACCTATGCATGAACTCTTGATATGCTTAGTTTCAAGTTGCAGCCGTTTCCGCCCCGTCTACAGAGCCGGCTACGCGCGAGGGGTTCGGTCGCGACCCGCGCGACGTAAGTGCGGTTGAACCCGGGGCACTTTTTGTCCTTCCCCTCTGAGCTGCACGATATTCTGTAGGACACGGATAGGGCACTGCGCTGTGGTCCCGGTTCCGTTGCGGAGATATGCGCTGTGTTATACAATTTCCGTGAAAAATGTGCATGTCAGTTTGAAGATGTAACTATCATCCCATTGTACTACTACATCACATGCCCAGGTCATTCTCCTTGCTTTTTATGGCATCCCTATATTCCACACTTTTTTAATTCGCAGACATACATTCCTCCAGTCCTGCCATTATGGAAGGCTAAAGTTGTTCGCATGACAAAGATCACCTGATCACCTCAATAAATCTCTTCAGTGTGTTGCTGTAAACGACCTACACTGTCCTGTGAGAGTGACAGTGCACGAGGTTTATCTAGAGTGAACTCGGCCAGGTGTTTCTTGTACACTGTACCAATGAGTCTAATGAAAAGCACTAAAGTGCAAACCCTCGGTGCAGGCAATAGAGTTGTTAGTCACAAAGTTTGAACAATGTAGAGTAGATGGACTACATTTGTCATCATGTGCATTGCACAACAGGCAGTTGCTACTATTATTTAGCTTTGCTACATCATTGCACAACACATTATGTCATAGAAAAGCATTGCACAACAGGCAGTTTACAGTACACTACATGCGCAGTCCAGTATCCGGCGAAATGCACATGCACGGTAGCGCTTCAGTGAGGGTTTACAGCTGACTCCTCTCGTCATGGCGTTCTAAACGCTCTCAAAGAGTTGTTTGTGTTTGTGTGTACCTATCGTTCAGTTCTTCTCTCCCCTGCTGCCGCACAGTGGATGGAGGATGGATCGTCTAGCTGGTCTGGACATATCTCTGAACTTATCGAAGGCAGACTTTCTCTCCCGACTGAGACGCCTGGATGTACACATCCTCAAGAGTATCCGTAGTTTCGATTCTGCCAAACAAAATGACCTTGTCAACTGACTTGACGTCCTCGTGGAATGTAAAAACTCTGCTACAAGACCAGCTGTATTGAAGTTAGCGAAAGACATCCAGGACCTAGTAACCTGCAATCAGAGCCCGTAAGATGGTTCCAAGAACATTATTACTGGCCGGCAAGCGGAGTCGGTTACAATTTGAAGCTAGGAGAGAGAAATACGCATGCAGATTCTGCTATCACCGGTGAATGTGGTGAACTTGGTGGCCATACCCTCGAGAGTGGAGGGGAGGTTGTGGGGGTTGAATGTGGAGGGGAGGTTGAGGGGGTTGAATGTGGAGGGGAGGGTGTTGGTGGTGGCAGGTCTGTAGTTGAATGTGAGGGCAGGGCGTTGGTTGTTTCGGGACTGTGGTTGAATTTCGAGGGCAGGGTGCTGGTTGTTGCAGGTCTGTGGTTGAATGTGGAGGGGAGGGTGCTTATGGTTCCAGGTCTGTGGTTGAATGTGGAGGGGAGGGTGCTGGTGGTTGCAGGTCAGGTGTTGGAGCTGTGGCTGAGAGTGGAGGGGAGGGTGTTGGTGGTATGGTTGGTATAATATACAGCAAGAGGGAGTGGCGACGAGGGGGGAAATTATTCGGTTGGTGGGGAGGGATTGCATAGACATGACAGCCCTCATCTGGACAGGCCTTTTCCATTAGCGGCGGGAGTCTCGTGGGGACAGCTGCCTGATATCGTTGCTCAGTCAAGAATTGCTACTGATGTAAGCCTGTTAAAGCAGACTCTAAGAGATCTGCAAGTTAGGGTAGAGAAATCTGCTCAAAGGGCAAAGGTCTCGGATGTTACAGATTCCTGCTATGTCCTTGTGCATTTGTCTCTAAATCATGTCACCAAGGAGTCACTCACTTGCACTCTGGGCTGCCCTGTGTCATGGTTTACCTGCATCAAAAGGCAACCCTCTATTTCACTGTAGGTGAAACTCCCTAAGTCTAGCTTGCACACTGCCCTGACTTGAAATGCCACTGGCCCCCATTGTGTGCGCTTCTGGTACCCTCGAATGGCAAACACAGGTACCTTGCTCTCTGCTGTAAACCCTGTTAAAAAAGGCCAACCACTAGTGCAAATCAGCTAAAAACATTGCCAGCTGGAATTGTAGAGGGTTCAGCAACAGTGTACATACCTTACCCATCTCATTAACATTGCTTGCGGTGTTGTTGTTCTTCAGGAGCATTGGTTGCAGCCCTTCGAGCTGTAAAAGCTTCAGTTGGTCTCGGATAAGATTGACTATCATGCTGTGTCAGACCCAAGACTGGATGTGGACTCTGAGCTGACCAGGGGTTACGGTGGTGCTGCAATATTGTGGAGTAAGGAACTCCCTGTAGTGAGGATTCCCTATCCGGGAAATGGCAGGCTTTGTTGCCCCAAGGTTCAACTCACTGGAGAGACCTACCTGACCATTGTTGGGGTGTACTTGCCCAGTCATGGATACACTGAGGAGTATCAGACTTGCTTGACTTAACTGGAAGATCTCCTGTCTGGGCTTCCTCAATCACAGCCTATCATGATTGTTGGCGATTTCAATGCACACATAGCAGAGGTGGGGTGCAACCCTGTGTCTAACTCACAAGGCCTGGCACTTAGGGATCTTGTTGAACGAAACAACCTTTTTGTGGCTCCCCTTGACAAGGGCCACACATATTGTAGTGGTCACACGAGAACAACTGTTGATTACATAATCGTAAATCAGTGCGCCTCCTACCTCATGACTACTTCTGAGGTGCTGGACAATCATCCACTCAATACATCTGCAGTCTGTGCAGTTAATCCCATCCGGACATGGAAGGATATTCCAAGAGTGAATTGGGGCAAAGCTCCTATGGATCAGCCTGGGATTGAGGAATATCAGAGAGCAATTGATGGGATGATCAGACCTCTGATTGGCAAAACATACGACAGTACTGCTAAGGTAGAGGAGGAGGTAAATCTTGTCATGACAGGTGTGTGTAAATTTGCCACACAGCTGCTACCTCTACATAAGAAGAATACCTCGAAGAATACCTCAAAGAAACGATTTTGTGATCACAAGTCCTCTTCATTACGCATGAAACTTCAGACCGATGACCGTACAATCACCGATAAAGAAGACCTTGTATATGTGTGGGAAAATCACTTCTCATCTCTCAGTAAGTCCAGAATCATGATGTCCAGCCCTTGCAAAGGGAAATAATGTCACTAACCAGTGTTTCTCGTTAGGATATGTTGGATGTAGAATTTGACGTGGAAGAAGTTTCAAAACTACCCAACCATAAAGCTACTAGACCAGATGTAATCTCCAGCGAACACTTAAAGTTTGGTGGCAGTCTTAGAACACTGATTACACAGATTTTCAATGCTATATTTCTTCTGGAGTGTGTTCCATCATATTTCAAGGAAGCTAATATTACCCCTACATACAAAGGGAAAGGAAAGAGTCCTCTTGACCCCAATAGCTATAGAGGGATCGGGTATCCAATGTGCTCAGCAAACTGTTTGAATCTCTCACCTTGGCTCGAATGTTGCCTGAGCTTGAAACCAAAGGTTTTCACTCGATTCAGAAAACAGCTTACCGGTGTGGTGTGTCATGTGAGGATGCTATACCTTCGCCGTGTATGAAACCCTTACTCATCTTGCACAGAATGGGAACACTATCTTTCAGACTTTCTACAATTTGGAGAAAGCTCTTGACAGCGTTGGGTACTGCTTCCTATTGAAGCATTACCGTTGTATCTTGGCTGGAGTTCGCCGCGATAATATTCACCACTGCCATGTTGTCACATTGCACCAGAACTTATTACCTTGCCAGAAGACTCCCCACATTGCTACCGCCAACTGAATTAGTAAGAGCTCCTTAGTAGCAATGTTTCTTGCCACATGCCATCCCACGAACCTTGAATCCATCAATCCTCCCAGCAGGCGCCACAACCCCGTTCCAAAAAGCACCTGTGCAGAAGGTGAACCTAGATGTCTCGTTGGTAGCCACATTATGCATCATGCCCTGACCGTTCCATGAGCCAATAAACGTTTGCCACCATTGTAGGTCAGATATGAAGTCCTGGTTGGTTAAGGTGGACCCAGTGATCCAATTGTTTCACCCTGTGGGCCTGATCTATCATCCTTCTCAAGAAGATCTGACCAGGACAATGATATTTGTTGCACGTGAGAGCTTGCCAATTATTGAGAGGAGGTCCAGTTTTTCCCCCCGACTCCCTTGACATCAACTTGTGATTAACAGTTTCAGCTCCTGCAATTTTTCCTCTGGCAGGCACATCTCCATTTTCTGAGTGTCCAGCAAAATATTGCAAAATGATATTCGCGTTCTTTCCTAGGGACATTATTATCTGAACTGTGCTGTCAACAGTCGCAGACTTGATTGAGCACACACTCGGGTGCGATACCGTCACTCACCACTGGTGATCCCTCCAAAAGCTGACACAGAAAACCTCCCTTGATGCCCGTTACAATGTAATCCACCAAGTGTCCGTCCAGGTGGTCTGGTAGTAGTGATTCCCATTGCACGAGGACAAGTGGTGTGGTGATGTGTTGAGGTAGGGCTACAGGGTACAACTCAGTGCAGCTGTTGAACTGCACTGAGTTGGCAGTGTACGGGTAGACCTGGTTGGGCAATTCTCATAGGGTGTAGGGTCATTAGTGAATGTAAGGTCGAACACGAAGTTATCAGATGACGAATCCCTATTGACTATTTGACGTACCGCATGAATCTTAAGGTGTGTTCGTGCGTTGTGGTACTAAGCCCCGTTTACCTCAACGCCTCAGACGAAAGCTGGTGTCCGGAGGTGGTTGGTCGCGGGGGGTAGGGGAGGGGTTGACTTTCCGTTGGGGGCACTCCATAGCTGTGTGTGAAGTCTTCCGATATTGGGAACAGCAGTGGAGAAACTTGCAGTTTATTAAAAGCACACCCATGATGGATAGAGGTTGAACCTGCATGGGCTATGCCATTTCTCGTGTCTGGGATATTTTCTCCCCAGATGGCTTTCCAGGTGCAGACTTTGGTGTTGCTGTAGCGAAGTGCAGTCCAGAGTGACGTATTGTCTCCCAATTTTGTTCCTTCACCGTTGTGAACATCGTACTCCAGCCATGGTTTCACCTCAAAGTCTAGGCTCACTTTCACGATCGTCGAGCTATATCCAAGGAGGTCGCACATTTGGGAGGGATCACACATAGCTAATACACTGATAAATCAAACATTACCCAATCCTGGATGGTGGTAATCGTTTTCTTTTCTTTTGCTTCACCTTGTCTGATTGCAGCAAGGTGTCTAGAACTGTGTGACCAGGTGCTCGCAGACGTGCCGGGAATAATTCTTGGAGATCGATATACTCTCTTCGCCAGATCTTTTCGGCAGGCTAAGCTGGGATCGGCGAAGACACAGGACCCACTGAAATGGCGACTTTCATTGTAGCAGTGAGACCAGGGGGGTCTCAAACAAAACTGACCATCTGGTGTTCTATAGCCTGCGACAGTCCCTAACCCTTCGAGGATTAGGGAGTTCCCCGAGTCATGTGTCGCCGTCGGATGTCCGGCAAGATGTTGTGAAGACAATATACCAGACGTCCATATCCAACGCTCTGCAACCAGCAACATACTGTTTGACCTCCGACCGCCATCCCTTGTAATTGTCTTGCAATTGCTCACTGCTGCACCAGTCCATCACGAGGCTTGGCCCGCCAGCCCCTAGCTTCTTGCCGTTCTCCCCCTCCCATCGCTTCATGTCACAGGCCTGCTACGGTCGGACCCCCACCAACCTGCCAGGGACACGTTATCACTAACCCCCCTTACCTCTTTCGGCCACCGTGAGTGAGCCGACGTTCCCGCTTTGCTCCTCCCCTAACTGGGGTGAGTCAGCGCCCGGAACGCGGTTATGATGGTGCAGAACCATCTGTCCTTCCCTCCTCTGTCATCGCAATTGCCATAGATTGAATTACTTGAGGGAAAGCTTTCACATGCCGGTCATCTAATCTGTAAATTAATGTGACATGCACAGAATTAAGGAAGGAAAGCTTTCACATGCCGGTCCTCTACTCTGTAAATCAAATGTGATCTTTAGGGTTTTTTACGCACAGGCGTATGACTACGTTTATTGAGCAATAGACCGTGTGGTCTAAATCTACTTCTGAAGCACGTGAGACAGACCATAAAGTTTTGAATACAATGCTTCTCTAATACATTATCGTCCAATTTGGATGCTTTTGACCGTCTGTGGGATCGCTTGATAGTACGTACCGTACGCGGTGCAGTTTTTGTGCGATGTTTGTGAGCGTCGCCGTAGGGCTGTACGACGCTTGACGGCAGGCTCTATTGTACTACCGCAGAATGGGCTACTTCCTGCTGTGTGCTAATCACTTCCGAGGTAAGCTAGCTGTACCGCAGTGTACCGGCATGTCGCCAAATGGCACAATGGGCCCTAGGGGTCCGAAATAATTGTCGTCAAATGGCGCTGTTGACCCTAAACATGTTAATTCTGTGCATGGTTCCACAAGCATGCATTATATAATTGTAGGATAGCCTCGGATGGAGGCTTGTTTCTTGGATGCTGTGATCAATAATCGCAAAATAGTAGTTGGCTGGTATGTTTAGTTCCATTGGATTGGACTTGGTCTGTGGAATAGTGTAGCAGCTTCCCGTAGGTACCAGCTGGTGCTCTTAGGCTAGGATCAAATAGTTTATTAACACAATATACAGACAGTCAATTGTTCATCCTGCAGGTCACCGGAAAAGGAAGCTGCAAAAAAAAGGACAAACTTTATACCTGTCCTGTGATGTATGTGTATCTTCCTGTGCACAACTAATGCCACCTTTAGACTGGGCGTGGTTTTAATCCAAACGCCAGCTACATCTAGCTCGGTGTACAAATTGCGTTCGACAGTTTTGACAACTTCGTTAGAGCAAAAAAAATCCTGTATGTCTTGTTCAATGTTCTGCCATGTCAGCTACATTTACGAACAGGACATGCAGGAATGTTTTGCTCTAACCACTGAAACCGTACAACATGCCCAATGCAATTGCATACATATATGTGTATGTGTGTGAGCATGACTTCTATTTAATGTGCATTATACCCTCTGCAAAAGAAAATTCATGGACCTGAACCCTACTTCATATATAGGGATGACACAGGTTGTCCTGTATTATGGCCATACATTTGTGATTTGTACGTTTCACTTATCAGATGCATCTTCTGACATATCCATATCGTCAAAAAAGCATGTACCCAAGAAATGGCTTAAATTGCATAAGCGGTAATTGCAAGAAAGTAAGCTTTTCTTCAACACATGGCTCAGGCGATAAAAACTGTAAACTGTGTCGTTTCTATAACATGCTTCTTGGTACATGGATGTTCTATGAGATAGCAGATTTCATCAAAACATAAACTACAAGTTTGTAAAAAAACAAACAAACAGCCTCTGTAAACAAATACTTGTAAATGGTGTTTGTGGCTATAACATGCTTGTGGTTCGTCTTCTAACAATGAAGTTGGAGTTCATCAAAACAGAAACAACAAGTTTGTAAACAACAACAAACAGTCTCTGGCAAAAAAACACTTATAAATGCTGTTAGTGCCTAAAACTTGCTGATGGTGGGTCCAATGACAATGACACCTACAACGCATAACAGAACGGAATCGGAAATTATTACGTGTACCGTAGTGTAGCATAACAGAACGGAATCGTCTGTCAGTTATAAACCGAATATTATTACGTGTACCGCATGGGCGAAAGGGCAGCATAGACACACTCATACTTCGCAACAATCTAGGGCTTGTGCAGAGGAAAATTGGCACGAGCGAGCGATCTCAGTTCAAAGTATGCCATTATCCATTATACTACTGCATCACATTCTGTAGGCCATCTCTTAGCTTTTTTCACCATCCCTTTATTCACCATTCTAGTAATACTTCGCTTAGATTCTTTAGGTCTTGTTTTTGTTGGTTTGTGTTTTTAATCATGGTTTCGCTGACTATTAATGTAGTGCCTTATTTCTCTATGGCATAGTGTAATTTCCTGCACTATACTCGCAGTAGTGGTGCAATTAGTATTGTTCGGAGATATAGGGTGAATACTTTTGTTAGCTTAAAATAAAAATTGCAGAGTCTGTTGACCATTTGTAGGACCTCTGTGCCTAAAGATCCCACACGTTGCTGAGCATACAAGCTAACAACACCTTGCAGCAAAAAAGGGTGTAGGCCCTGCAAAACAAATGTCAATGCTCAGATTGTGGCCACGCACATTTTTAATGCAGGGCTATAATACACCAGCACGTACCGTAGGAGGCTGAAAGATAGGCCTAAGCCAATTATGCTAAGAAACACACCAATTATTTAATTAGGTTAATCTAATGTAAATTGCCCATTATTTCAGCATTCACATCCTATTATTCATATTTTTAATGCCAATTATACTGCATCATATTCATATTTTTAACGGCAATTATATTGGCTCCACGTCCACGAGATCGACGCTTTCCCGTAGGCGGAGGGTTTCTATGGACCGCCCTCTTTCTCGCCAGGTATGATGGCCTGGGAGCACGCAAGTGAGGCAAAAGTAAAGAAGGTTCTGAGAATGAGTCGCCACTGCCAGAACAGACGCTCGATATATCAGCAGCGGGTGTAACAGAGCTCGCAGATAGAGACGCGGACGACGAGGAGAGTGTCGAGGGATCCGGATACTCCATTTCTGTATACACGGTTTATGGCGGGCTTGGGTACACCCGGGTGCACCGGTGTTCATGCACTAAGCATATGCGCATGCGTAGATTGGACCAAAAATTCCCAAAAATTCGCGAATTATGCGAATCCTGGGAAGTTCCTATTATTCCAAGGATTATGCTAGCGTAATTGGCGCAGGCCTACTGAAAGAACACCACTGTGCCTACAGGCGAATAACACGTGAGGTTGGGCACGAAATATTATGATTTCTGTCAAACAAGGCCTAAAACTACAAAATTAGCTCTGCTGTTCGTCATTCGCCAATGCAAGCACGGTACCAACAGCCAACTTTGCAATACGAGGGATATTTCATGAATAGCACATACCTGTACGGGTATCCCCCATACTTCATTCTGAAGACTGAGAGAAGGTACCCAAACACAAGCACCACCAATGAAAGTCCAACAATTGGAGAAACTAGAACAAAAAACAGCATATAGGGAAAATATGTATGCACATTATGTATGACAGACAATTTAATTGCCTTATCAGTAACTTTGCGAAAAATGGAATACTTGGCCACATAGCATAAATGCTACTACACTGAATTTTTTATGTATTATTCATCACTTCTGATTCCCTGCATTCCAATGAGCCTGTATTAATGCAGCCAGGTTAATACGTATCACTAAGCACGGTAGTACATAGTATATAAAAAATCTGCGAATTTGAAAAAAGAGGCATATACCAGGGCTTCAAGCTAGCACTCGCCCGCCCGCCCGTGGCGGGTAAATTACGACGCGGACGGGCACTAACGCCTAAAGCAGTCGCCCGGCTGGCGAGAGACACACTAGACAGACATAGTGCAGTTGTAATAGCGAAGTTAAGTTGTAATAACGTGGTTTAGTTAGGTACATAGTAGACGTGAGCCAGCGTCTTCGCCGCGGTGAACTGGGGATCGAATACGCAACGCATGGGGCAGGGTCTGATCTTTGCACATGCGTACTATGTAGTTTACACAAGTGCACGCGGTGTGCTTTATACTGTTTTGACAACCATGTGGAGGTATTTTGAAGGAGTACAGGAACCTCCAACTAAAAAACCTAGACAGTCAGACGAAGACACTGTTTGTGATGATGTGTAATTGATTCTGTGCCTTCAATAATACTTGGGGTAGTGTGAAAGCTGTTGAAGCTAGTTATCCTGGAGAACTGCCTTGTAATGAGCTCCAAGTGTCAAACTTCAAGCGCTGTGTGCAGAAGCACCAGCTAGGCACAGCAGGCAATGATTTATACTCCGTTATGCTACAGACTCACCTTGAAGAGGTAGGAAAGAGGTTTATTACCCTCAGCGCGCATGCGCAGCGATGGTACGGTAGTTGGGTGTGTGTGTCTGTCTGTTACTCTACATCTCACTTCTCGAGTGTTTGTTCGTCTCACAAAGGATACCACCTACTTAACGGGCAATGAAGGTCAGAAATTTCGAACTGTTTTCTCTGAAACTGCTCCGTTGCAAAGCTAGAGCGCGAAAAAGCCAATATGCAAGGTCTGATCGATCTGCGTGCTCTGCGTACCTCGGAGGCACCAGAAGATGCAACGCAGGCAGGGTGTGTATCGCCTGTCGCATGATATCTAGTAGTGTAGCTAGCCCACGTCAGACTCTGCGCGAGCTGGCAAGAGACCGCGAGTAACAGCTAAAACTAAACCAAGCCCATCAATTAGTGGTACGGTGGTTTACTGATGCGTGCGCGTCACAATGCACTGAGGGGTTGCACTTCAGTGCTTTTCCTGACCCAGCAATAATTTTAGCTACCGAACAGCAACTTCTTGATCTTGAGCGATTCTGTTGCAATAGGTCAACATTTAGTGTGCTTACTGTTTATCCCATTTTTTCACTCGGTGATTTTGATGTCACACCTACCACTTATCGTCATCTTTTATTGCGTGTGAGTAGAACGGGTAAACCACCTGTAACGTAGGGTCCAATTTTTCTTGCAGCTTCTCTTGTAAGCACGGACAAAAACTTGGCTAATATAACAGATGGGGAAGTAGCACTTAGTAACACATGAATTCAAAGGTGCTATTCATCTTCTCTGTTTCAATCATGTAAGGCGCAATTTTAAAAAGCAGCTCCGTTCACTTGCGATTCCCGTGGAAGTTCAATCAGAGATCATAAGTGATATTTTTGGCAAGAGAATTGATTCAATGCACTTGACTAGGGTTGGTAGATTCTAAAGCGAGGAAGATTTCAAAACCTCTCTTACTACCCTTGTTCGAAAGTGGGAGCTCCATGACTTAGATGAGACATCGGGCCCTGTAACAAGATTTCTACTCGTACAAAAATCGTCTCAGGTACATGCTCCAGTTCCTCGTCTTACAACTAGTAAAGTCACACCTCTAACCACAAAACTTGGACTTCCTCTTCAAGCACTTGAACGCATTGCAGAAAAGGCAACAGAGCTTTTGGAAACAGATGGAGCTATTGTAAATGCCCCAGGATACACTGCAGAAGCAAAAATCGTTAAAAGCCATTCAGGAAAGAGGCCCCATCTTGTGACTCCGAAGAAGAAGGGAGATGGATATGCGTGTGACGATGAGTGCCCACAGTACAAGTCTGCCAAGTTGTGTTCACATACCCTAGCTACTGCAGTAGTGAATGGGAGTCTCGATAGCTTCATTTCTTCCTACGCCAGAGTAAAGAGGGGACCAAATTTGACTAAATTAGACAACTGGCATGCCTAAAGGACGAGGTTGCAAAGGAACAAAGGCTCCTTCCAAACGTAGACCCACTGTACCTGTGAAGTCGCGGTTTGAGCTGAACCCCTCTACTGACTTACCCGGTCCCGGTGTTCTAACACTTCCATTTCTATTGCACCCCCCTACTCTGCTGGCTCGGTACAGGTTGGAGCCACTCCAACTCAGATTGCTGGTAGCTCAAATGAACCCTTGTTCTCTATGCCTGCATCTGTGCCTACATGGTCTCCTTTCCCTTGCCATCCAGCCGACCCCACAAGTGGAGGTGTATACCCTTTAGAGTCCACTTCATTTCAGGAAACATTTCAGTTTGCCATGGGTGCAAAGGCAGATACCAGACTTGCACCACCCTATGACACATGCCTTCAACATGAGGAGTGGCACACATTCATCAGCCCAGGATCATCAACACCCCAGAGTCGCTTTGGAAATGTGTACTACCACTGTAACATTCATTGCGTCAAAGCTGTGTGGCACCATTTTTTGCCCAGTTCCGTTGTTATACCATCATCTGTCTCTGTATGTCTGCACCAAAGTTTTTTGTATGTTAATTTTGCCATATAAAGTCTTCATATCGTGATGGTTTCTGTACAACCATCATATCTTCATGCTCACTGTATCTTTTGCATGGTCACTCTTTCATACCTGCAGTGCTCTCCTTTGTAAATACGTGGTCACTGTATGAATGGTATGGTTGGCTAAAATATTATAGAGCGCGCTGGTGTCACACGCGTTTGGGGGTGGCCATACGGACAGTTCCGCTTCCATAGCGCACTCCCAGTTCGGACATGCAGGTCTTTGCCACGCCTCGTGTATCCCTTCCAGGCCGACAAAAACTGTGAGTGCAACGAGGGAGACTACACTTCTCCCCGGTTTCGTTCCTTTCAGTGTCGTACATGTGCGTATGATTCTCTTGCGCATGCGGCCAAAGGTCAGTCCAGTAGTCCAGTCCTGCGATTGCAGACAGCCTGGGTAACTAGTGCATGATACACAAAATGACACATCCTTGCAGGCGTGTGCAGCTTATGTTCACAACCGTTCACGTTTGTGGAATAGTCCACCTGAAACAGATATTCACTTAAAATATGTGTATGTGCTACAACTTTAATTTTGCACTGCAAAGTTAATTTCTGATGTTACACACTCTATTAATCAAGATTGCAAGACCCTATGTGAGGAAAATATGTACCTTTCTGGATTCCAAGGTCTTGAAAAAGATAAAATTGTTCATTCAGTAAGATCATGCCCATTGACATCAGTCCATCTTATAATAGTTCATTAAGAAAATTGCAATTGTATACATACTATTGCCAAAACAATTTATGCAAAGCATTATGATCAGTGCCACACATGGCATATGCAGTATGTGTGAGTGTTGCTGTTTCATCAGACGCATAAAGTACACCTATATACATACACATTCATACTCATACAATAAAGAAAATAGCACACGGCTCACTAATTACATGAGCCAATACTTCTCGGTTAAAACAGTGACCCGTCATTCTTGATTATCCAGCCAGTCTTTTTCGTATTATTTCCAACGTTAGTGAAAGGGGCAGTCCACATAAATCTTACCCCCAAGAACAGACTGATTAACAGGGACATGGGTCTACAAACCCCAGAGTCCTGGAACTGGACACTCCAGACATTATTATCCAAAAAAGTGGAGCTCGTTACCGTTGACATAAAACGGAAAACAACAACACCTTGGGACGCCTGCAGCTGTAGGGGACCAGTAGGAGCAACAACAGAACCAGGAACATAACCCCCTTCTCCATCTTTGCAAAGCCTTGTGTATGGTAATTTCTGCCCTTATGAAGTCAAGCACAGCCTAGTTGAAACAAGTTGAAACAAGTTGGAACTAAGATCATTTTGACTAAAAATTGGTTGGATAAGCGAGAATGACGGATCACTTATTACATCTTAGGGAAACTATCAGTATTCCTAAACATAGTCGAGCACACAGGAAGGACATAGACTTACACTTTCAGGGATGGTGACGCATAAGAAACTTGGGCTAATGTACATAACCAACATGAAAACTATACGCATAATAAAAAATGTGATATACATGTCTTAATTGAGCGGGTTTACACGTAAATTTCCATGAAAGGTCCCATTCTTTATTATTATGTCTATTATTATAAGGCTATAAAAAAAATACCTCAAGGAAAACACCGGTGATTTTGTGTATAAGAAGGTATGGGGTGAAATACACCAATAAGCAATCGGTTAACTTGGCGCTAGGGCCAGGATTTGGGCTAGACTGATAGAGTAAGCCAGTCCAAGAGGGAAAGGCGGGTGTAGTCACAAGGGTGTTGGACACAAACATGTTACAAATTTTTACATTCTTTCTTATTCTTCGGCATATGGTGCAGGCTCACTCACTACAAATGACCATGATTAAGGCAGACCATTGATCAATAGTAGTTGCTACAACAACGTTTGTCACTTTAGACGCGTTTTCATGGGAAAGAGAACTTGTGATTTATTTGGTAATAAAGTATATGATTGAGTCACTCAATTAGCACTTTGGCCACAGTAGAGAGATTGAGTATCTATGAGCACAACATACATTCAGTTAGTGAGAAAAAACCTACAGGAGCACGTCTTCACTGGTAAGACACTAGTACACTTCTTCATTATACCTAACCATGGTGCAGCAAGTTTTCATGTGTCTTAGTGAGTCTACTAACGAGACCCGTCTCTAGTAGTCGTGACGCTCTGTAGTCTGTAAAATTGTGTAATAAGCTCTTTTTTAATTGTAACATACCGCACTAACAACTTAGGTGGAGATCAGGAGCGACTTTCCATTGTCTGATTGTATCACTTCCCTAACGCATGAAACCGATCACCAGACCTTACGTCCGCATAAGATGTATGTTATGCCATAAGTAAAGTATGTAGTGGCTGTATAACAGTTTACACAACAGTTGAACACACTTAGGGGCTCAGGTTAACAAATGGATTGCTTAGCTGCTGGAAAATACAATTAGGACTACGACTATATAAATGAACACCGGTTTTTTGCGAGGTTGTTCGGTCCGGCGTGCGCAGCAATTTTCCCACATACACATTTGGAACATACGGCCAACGCTGTGCCCCATCACAAACCCGGCCGAATAAGGTTTCAGCTTTTACTTTAGGCGCTTCTCCAAACATCCAGGTCGTCACCCATAGAAGAGGGAGTGGCAGTTGGCCCGACCCTAAACATAATGACCACATAACAGGTCCAAGGTAACCCCCAATGTAGGACAAGCTTCCTAATACAACCTCTCAATGGTGGTGCCACTTGTATTTGCCAAAAAAAAAAGAAAAACACGCTTGACGTACCGAAGCAGAAGAGGGAACACACGGGAAGAACCGAACACACACGAGAGGGCTTATGGACATGACTACAAACGACACCTTCGAGATTGAAAGGACACCGCACAATTTACGCAAGCCCCCACCATACTCCAAAACACAAACCACTACAGTTCTCAATTACCACACACTTGTAAGATGATGACTAGATCTATACATTAAAAAATTGAGCAGTCACAGACCGAATTAAGGCAAAGACCACACTTAACAGCAACAACAAAAAAAAAAAAACCCACATCACACTTCACATACGCAGCACACACACACTTCGCGTATATCGACCACGCAGCACCCCCCACCCGCAAATGCCTCAAACTTCCTCCCCGTCGCCCACGACCCAAGACCTTTGGTTTCCCAACAACACAAGCCACTCGAGAATCCCCCGCCAAGCCAATACACACCGTGGCGACCCCCACCGACCACACCCAATTTCGCCGAAGTCCGCGAGTTGATTCTCAATGTCCCCGACCGGCCCAGACAACGCTCAAACAGTCTTATCAACGTAAGTCCACCACAGCAAGAGTTTACACGCTCTACACGCGACCGGGTTAGGAACACCGAAAGCCGTCGCACACTTCTCAGACACATGCCCAACTTCTAGGGGACACTGTCACTGACGCTGACCGACCCACTACTAGTGAACGTTTCCTCCACGACTTCCTCCGACGGTGCGCATGTGTGATGAACTCCAACTCCTCAGCCCGTGAGTGGGTGTGTGTCTCTGTTAGTGTAGCACTAAACTAATAGGTTATGTGTGTAGCGTATGCGTCAGGTGTGTTGTCGTGGTTGTAGTGAGGGTCACCCTTATGTTGAGTGTGCATCACCTTACCACCCACCTTACCGGTGTTTATTCTGTATGTTGACGCAGTCAGTTTTAGGCTAGTTAGTGTATATAAGGTAGCTGCGGCTGA